TATATCGACATAACCTGAAAGGCCACTCAGCAAGGAAGAAGCCACTGCTCCAAAACCGCCATAAAAAAGCCAGACTACGGTTTGCAACTGCACATGGGGACAAAGATCGTACTTTTTGGAGAAATGTCCTCTGGTCTGATGAAACAAAAATATGGCCATAATGACCATCGTTATGTTTGGAGGAAAAAGGGGGCTGCTTGCAAGTCGAAGAACACCATCCCAACCGTGAAGTACGGGGGTGGCAGCATCATGCTGTGGGGGTGCTTTGCTGCAGGAGGGACTAGTGCACTTCGCAAAATAGATGGCATCATGAAGAAGGAAAATTATATGGATATATTGAAGCAACATCTCAAGACATCAGTCAGGAAGTTAAAGCTTGGTCGCAAATGGGTCTTCCAAATGGACAATGACCCCAAGCATACTTCCAAAGTTGTGGCAAAATGTCTTAAGGACAACAAAGTCACGGTATTGGAGTGGCCATCACAAAGCCCTGACCTCAATCCTATAGAAAATGTGTGGGCAGAACTGAAAAAGCGTGTGCGAGGATGGAGGCCTACAAACCTGACTCAGTTACACCAGCTCTGTCAGGAGGAATGGGCCAAAATTCTTATTGTGGGAAGCTTGTGGAAGGCTACCTGAAACGTTTGACCCAAGTTAAACAAGTAAAGGCAATGCTGCCAAATACTAATTGAGTGTATGTAAACTTCTGACCCACTGGGAATGTGATGGAAGAAATAAAAGCTGAAATAAATCATTCTCTCTACTATTATTCTGATTTTTCACATTCTTAAAATGAAGTGGTGATCCTAATTGACCTAAGACAGGGAATTTTTACTAGGGTTAAATGTCAGGAATTGTGAAAAACTGAGTTTAAATGTATTTGGCTAAGGTGTATGTAAACTTCCGACTACATTTCCTTCTAAAGATAACTGCCCAGTGCTTCTCCGCCCATGCATAGGCTATAGCCTACTCTATTTAATTGAGACCACACGCGCACCTGATCACGCAGTTATGGCTACTGTGCCTTTTCCTTTTCAATTATGATTACATTTTTGGATTGCACTTCGACTAACGTTGGTTGAGCACCTTCCACTTCTTTCCATTATCAATATTTATTTACAGACACTGTAGTAAATAAACTACTGTACAATCATATTTATGTTAACTGACACGTGATTCTCCGCCCAAGTAGGCAGCCTACTCTATTTCAATGAGAGCACACATACTAGGCGCACTTGAACTCTCACTCCCAACTAGGAGAGGTAGGCAGGCTACTGTTGAAGCATTGAATTCTGAGTGTTTAAATAATGCGTAAAATATGTTCTTTTAATACAATAGGTAGGCTAACGCATACAAAGCAGAAAGGACTGTTTCCAAATAATCTGTGGGACAACAAAAATACAATATTTTCATCCCTAAGTCGCATGTTTGACCGCCCGCTTCCGCCCGCAGACCGTGCCGCAATGATCTCTGTCGGGACCACAGGCATTCTGCGGGAATGCAGCCCTCTAGTGCACAGTCAGTACACAACACTATGCTCATCATGTCTTTTTGTGCCTGTTTTGCATGTGATTTTGGCATTAATACGTGTCACATATCAGTTTGCAAACAATGAAACATTTTTAATAATGGGGCCTCCCGAGTGGCACAGCGGTCTAAGGCACTGCGTCGCTCCCGGGAGACCCATGAGGCGGCGCACAAAGCAGTGTTCTGTCACTCATGGGGACACTACATCACCGCAAAATCTACGGGGAGAGTTTAAATATTTAAGCCCCTTGGGTGCTGCCATAGTTACATTAGAAGTGCCCATCTAAGAAGGCTCAAGGTCATTGGCCACAGATAAAATGACGTCAAATCACGTTATATCTACCATAGCTTTGATTGGACTTATCATGTCAACATCATATTTTCAAAATTGTAGCTAGCAAGCTAGCAGTCATCATCATGAATCAAGTCGACAATCTACTGGCAAATCCTTTTCAATTCTTGTCATATGAAGAGAAATTATGAAGAGAAATTCTAGATAAAACGTATCGGTGCTCATCGGTCATTGGACATAAACATTACACAACAAGTTGGAAATCGCAAATTCAACAATGAGAGGTTTGGAAGGAATCAGTGGCTAACTGCAAGTGTTGCAAAGCAATCACTAGCCTGCTATTCAGTGGAGTGGGTGTGTTGTCCAAGTCTGGGTTTAAGGGTCTCTTTTCTAAGCTTAAAAGGATAAACATTCAACAGTGGCCATGCTGTCAATCCAGCATGACTTCTGCTGCGTTCAACACAACTGGAAACTCAGAAATGGGAAATCTCAGACTTCAGTGAGTTCAAGACAACTGGGAACTCGGAAAAAAGCAAGCTCCGATGGAGAAAATACGTTATATGCCCCCTTTATTCATCCTACGGTTCTGACTTGGTGTACAGGGAGAATACTGTAAGAACGGCCCATGTTCTGAATTCTGTCGCTGTACATTTCAAAAGTGTTAAACAAATAGTTCTTACATCCTAGCTCGCTCATTGTCATTAATCGAAATTACGGATTGCCTCTTATCCGCTCATCGTCCCCTTATGCCATAGTTTGTACATCTCAATTGTCAGTAGAAACCATATTTGTTTAAGCAAGTCAGCCATATCAGCTATGTTTCTTTTAAAGGCAGTAAATGGGGCTGAATAAACTGTTTCGCTGGAATACAGTACGAGTAAAGGAGTCTGTATTGAAAAAATGTCAACGTCAGGGGAGATACCTATTTAGGCAATCCCTAGCTGCTGGGCTGCTCAGTCCTGGTCCTGGGGGTCTGCGGTCCTGTGGGTTGTCACTCTGGCCTTGGGCTAACACACCCGAAACCAATAATATATGTTTCACTAAGATCCTAAATCTGAGTGGGGTGTGTTGGTTTTGGGGCGCTGGACCCCTAGGGACAGGACGGGGCGACCAAGCTATATTGTGTGCAAGTAATAAATAGCTCTACAGTACTATTAGGCCTATTATATTAATTATATAGAGGATTTGCTGTTTGTGTGTTAATGTATATTTGTATGTTTTTTTCTTTTTTAACCCAAAAAATAAAAGGTGGGAACTGGGAAGGAACTTGTTGGGAGAGAGTTGAGTTATTGACTAGACTAGTGTGGGTCGGGCGTGCAGGCGGCTCAGGATGTCTTAATAAAGACGATCAAAACTCTTTGTATTTTTTCAAGAGTTGTTCATTTGTTAGGCTATTGGTTAAAGGTGCAACACAATATTTATTATTGAATGACCTTTGATCAAGTTCAGTCACATGAATCACTTAAACATATTTAATAATGATCTCTTACATAGCTTGATGACTGTGGGCATTTTTCCTTACTTTTTGTTCTAAATAGAGACGGCATATTGGAGATGCCCAAATGTTTTGGGGGAAGGACCCCCAGACCCCCCGCCACACAAACTTCTAAAAACAATGTGGCGCCCCTGCTTAAAACGTAAGCCTATGTCACATTAGCCAATTAAAAACAGTAGTATCGAGGTTTGTGCAGTAGGCTTTAGGCCCAATACATTATCACTATGCTTGAATTGCCCTGCCAATGTTGTTCTTCTCAAACCATTTTGAAATTATATATATTTTCAGATTTGGTATATGATCACCCTGGTAATGGATAATTTGTTGTATTACTTGTGAGGTACAGCTAAGTCAACATAATAATTTGCTTCTTTTCTTTTTTACTTGACTGATGGCCTGAATCTGTTGGTCAGTTTGAGGGGAGGGAGGGAGCAGCGGTGAGGTTGCCTCTTGCCCGACTCACCGTCCCTCTGCCCTCCTTCCCTCTGCTAAGAAAAGAGGGCACAGTCTTCCAGCTGATGGTGAAACTCAAATCGCACTGCATCATTTCTGCCTCATGCACCAATTCATGTTGTTACTCCTATGACCAGAGAAAGTGAAATATTCCTTGATATTAAAGACGCTAATAATAGCGCAAGCTTATCAGAAACACTTTGCTATACTCATTAATTGCAGCTGCAGTGCTGGTTGTAGCATGTGGAAGTAGGGAGAATGCACATTTTATGGCTTATAAAAGTGTTGACAGTGCGGAATGACCACTTAAACATGAACTTACACATAAAAACAGCAGCTCTGCTGTATTCATTGAGTCTCTCTAGTCATGGTTTTAAAAAGTTTTTAAATCTCAGTATCAACTTTCCTGTGCGTTTGAGGCTTCTTTTCCAGTCTATAGCGAGGAAACTGTGCAGTGATCTGAGCTGATTGGCCAGTGGTAGGCCTATAGGTGCACTTGATTTGCTCTCTGGGCCTGCCGGGTCGGCGGAGTTCTACCTTCAGACACATGAAGTGGTTCAAAATGGAAACACTTTACCTTTCCGGGCGCTAGGGCTTCTGAATCAAGTGCACCTACCGACAACAGTACGAAACAAATGAAAAAAAACAGGAATGCAAGGATTTATATATTTTTATTTTTACAGAAATGTTTGGTGATTGACTAGAAATGTCTTGGAGATCAACCTGTCGATCGCGACCGACCGGTTGGTGACCACTGATGTCGATGCATACTTTGAATTACACCCATAGTATTACCTCATTCAGTTGTATACATTAGTCCTGTATTTCCTTAGTATTGCATTATTTATGAAATCCTTTAACGCAGAGATCAACTAGATTCAAACATAGTCCTATTTTTTTCTTGAGCGGATGGTGGGGGGCTGAAACAATTACAAATCATTTGTAGACTGCCCAAACATATAATATGACTAAAACAATCATTTCAAACCTTGCTTACATTTGTATACGATCACGTCTCTATTATGCGTGGGAACACTTGGGAACAGATTTCCAAAATTAAAATCACTTGGAGCTGATTTCCTGGTGTTTTTACAGCCTTATGTCCAACAATGAATTTATTAATCATTTGCTCAAAAAACGTGGGAGGCCAAATAAAAACCACCTGCGGAAAAGATTCGGCCTGGGGCTGCCAGTTGGGAAACCCTGCTTTAATGTGTGAAAATTGTAAGCCTCTCAGACCACATCCAGGGGGTCCCTGTCAGCCTGTGACAGCGCCACGGTAACCGAGTCGGACAGATGCACCGCCAGCCTCTTCTTGAACACGGCCAGGAAACCCCGCTCGCTGTTGCTATGGTCACTGAGGATCACGCTGGCACCCGCAGCGACGGAGTCCAGGACCTCATGATGGGACATCTCACCTGGGAGAGAGACGAGGTCAGAGGTCAATGTCTGGACATTTAAACATGAGTCGAGTCAAGTAAAAGTAAGTGTGTGTGTGTAGGCATGCATGCATGCATGCATGTACACCGAGTGTACAAAACTGCTCTTTCCATGACAGACTGACCAGGTGAATCCAGTTGAAAGCTATGATCCCTTTTCTGTTAAATCCACTTCAAATCAGTGTAGATGAAGGGGAGGAGACAGGTTAAAGAAGGCTTTTTAAGCTTTGAGACACAGATTGTGTATGTGTGCCATTCAGAGAGTGAATCGGCAAGACAAAATATTTAAGTGCCTTTGAACGGGGTATGGTAGTAGGTGCCAGGTACACCGGTTTGAGTGTGTCAAGAACTGCAACGCTTCTGGGTTTTCCATGCTCAACAGTTTCCCATGTGTATCAAGAATGGTCCACCACCCAAAGGACATCCAGCCAACTTGACACAACTGCGGGAAGCATTGGAGTCAACATGGGCCAGCATCCCTGTGGCACGCTTTTGCCATCTTGTAGCCCATGCCCGACAAATTGAGGCTGTTCTGAGGGCAAAAGGGGATCCAACTCAATATTAGGAAGGTGTTCCTAATGTTTTGTACACTCATTGAATGCGCGTGACCACACACACTGTCCACATTTTTTACATATACACATGTACAGTGCATTCTGAAAATATTCAGACCCCTTGACCTTTTCCACATTTTGTTACAGCTTTATTCTAAAATGGATTAAATAAAAACGTTTCCTCATCAATCTACACACAATACTCCACAAAGCAAAAACTGGATTTTATAAATGTTTGCAAATTTATTAAAAACAAAAAACTGAAATATCACATTTACATACAGTGAGGGAAAAAAGTATTTCATCCCCTGCTGATTTTGTACGTTTGCCCACTGACAAAGACATGATCAGTCTATAATTTTAATGGTAGGTTTATTTGAACAGTGAGAGACAGAATAACAACAAAATAATCCAGAAAAATGGATGTCAAAAATGTCATAAATTGATTTGCATTTTAATGAGGGAAATAAGTATTTGACCCCTCTGCAAAACATGACTTAGTACTTGGGGGCAAAACCCTTGTTGGCAATCACAGAGGTCAGACGTTTCTTGTAGTTGACCACCAGGTTTGCACACATCTCAGGAGGGATTTTGTCCCACTCCTCTTTGCAGCTCTTCTCCACATCATTAAGGTTTCGAGGCTGACGTTTGGCAACTCGAACCTTCAGCTCCCTCCACAGATTTTCTATGGGATTAAGGTCTGGAGACTGGCTAGGCCACTCCAGGACCTTAATGTGCTTCTTCTTGAGCCACTCCTTTGTTGCCTTGGCCGTGAGTTTTGGGTCATTGTCATGCTGGAATACCCATCCACGACCCATTTTCAATGCCCTGGCTGAGGGAAGGAGGTTCTCACCCAAGATTTGACAGTACATGGCCCCGTCCATCGTCCCTTTGATGCGGTGAATTTGTCCTGTCCCCTTAGCAGAAAAACACCCCCAAAGCATAATGTTTCCACCTCCATGTTTGACGGTGGGGATGGTGTTCTTGGGGTCATAGGCAGCATTCCTCCTCCTCCAAACACGGCGAGTTGAGTTGATGCCAAAGAGCTCGATTTTGGTCTCATCTGTCCACAACACTTTCACCTAGTTCTCCTCTGAATCATTCAGATGTTCATTGGCAAACTTCAGACGGGCCTGTATGTGCTTTCTTGAGCAGGGGGACCTTGCAGGCACTGCAGGATTTCAGTCCTTCACGGTGTAGTGTGTTACCAATTGTTTCCTTGGTGACTATGGTCCGAGCTGCCTTGAGATCATTGACAACATCCTCCTGTGTAGTTCTGGGCTGATTCCTCATGATCATTGCAACTCCACGAGGTGAGATCTGGCATGGAGCCCCAGGCCGAGGGAGATTTACAGTTATTTTGTGTTTCTTCCATTTGCGAATAATCGCACCATCTGTTGTCACCTTCTCACCAAGCTGCTTGGCGATGGTCTTGTAGCCCATTCCAGCCTTGTGTAAGTCTACAATCTTGTCCCTGACATCCTTGGAGAGCTCTTTGGTCTTGGCCATGGTGGAGAGTTTGCAATCTGATTTATTGATTGCTTCTATGGACAGGTGTCCTTTATACAGGTAACAAACTGAGATTAGGAGCACTCCCTTTGAGAGTGTGCTCCTAATCTCAGCTCGTTACCTGTATAAAAGACACCTGGGAGCCAGAAATCTTTCTGAATGAGAGGGGGTCAAATACTTACAGTGAGGGAAATAAGTATTTGACCCCCTCTCAATCAGAAAGATTCCTGGCTCCCATGTGTCTTTTATACAGGTAATGAGCTGAGATTAGGAGCACACTCTTAAAGGGAGTGCTCCTAATCTCAGTTTGTTACCTGTATAAAAGACACCTGTCCACAGAAGCAATCAATCAGATTCCAAACTCTCCACCATGGCCAAGACCAAAGAGCTCTCCAAGGATGTCAGGGACAAGATTGTAGACCTACACAAGGCTGGAATGGGCTACAAGACCATCACCAAGCAGCTTGGTGAGAAGGTGAAACAGTTGGTGCGATTATTCGCAAATGGAAGAAACACAAAATAACTGTAAATCTCCCTCGGCCTGGGGCTCCATGCAATAACTCACCTCATGGAGTTGCAATGATCATGAGAACGGTGAGGAATCAGCCCAGAACTACACGGGAGGATCTTGTCAATGATCTCAAGGCCGCTGGGACCATAGTCACCAAGAAAACAATTGGTAACACACTACGCCGTGAAGGACTGAAATCCTGCAGCGCCCGCAAGGTCCCCCTGCTCAAGAAAGCACATATACAGGCCCGTCTGAAGTTTGCCAATGAACATCTGAATGATTCAGAGGAGAACTGGGTGAAAGTGTTGTGATCAGATGAGACCAAAATCGAGCTCTTTGGCATCAACTCAACTCGCCGTGTTTGGAGGAGGAGGAATGCTGCCTATGACCCCAAGAACACCATCCCCACCGTCAAACATGGAGGTGGAAACATTATGCTTTGGGGGTGTTTTTCTGCTAAGGGGACAGGACAACTTCACCGCATCAAAGGGACGATGGACGGGGCCATGTACTGTCAAATCTTGGGTGAGAACCTCCTTCCCTCAGCCAGGGCATTGAAAATGGGTCGTGGATGGGTCTTCCAGCATGACAATGACCCAAAACACACAGCCAAGGCAACAAAGGAGTGGCTCAAGAAGAAGCACATTAAGGTCCTGGAGTGGCCTAGCCAGTTTCCAGACCTTAATCCCATAGAAAATCTGTGGAGGGAGCTGAAGGTTCGAGTTGCCAAACGTCAGCCTCGAAACCTTAATGTGGAGAAGAGCTGCAAAGAGGAGTGGGACAAAATCCCTCCTGAGATGTATGCAAACCTGGTGGCCAACTACAAGAAACGTCTGACCTCTTATTGCCAACAACGGTTTTGCCACCAAGTACTAAGTCATGTTTTGCAGAGGGGTCAAATACTTATTTCCCTCATTAAAATGCAAATCAATTTATAACATTTTTGACATGCGTTTTTCTGGATTTTTTTTTTGTTATTCTGTCTCTCACTGTTCAAATAAACCTACCATTACAATTTTAGACTGATCATTTCTTTGTCAGTGGGCAAACGTACAAAATCAGCAGGGGATCAAATACTTTTTTCCCTCACTGTACGTACTCAGTACTTTGTTGAAGCACCTTTGGCAGCGATTACAGTCTCGAGTCTTCTTGGGTATGACGCTACAAGCTTGGCACACTTGTATTTGGGGAGCTTCTCCTATTCTTCTCTGCACATCCTCTCAAGCTCTGTCAGGTTGGATGGGGAGCTTTGATGCACAGCTATTTTCAGGTCTCTCCAGAGATGTTAGATCGGGTTCAAGTCCGGGGTCTGGCTGGGCCACTCGAGGACATTCAGAGACTTGTCCCGAAGCCACTCCTGCGATGTCTTGGCTGTGTGCTTAGGGTCGTTGTCCTGTTAGAAGGTGAACCGTCGCCCCAGTCTGAGGTCCTGAGCGCTCTGGAGCAGGTTTCATCAAGGATCTCTCTGTACTTTGCTCCGTTCATCTTTGCCTCGATCCTGACTAGTCTCCCAGTCCCTGCGTCTGAAAAACATCCCCACAGCAAGATAGGGATGGTGCCAGGTTTCCTCCAGACCGGACGCTTGGCATCTTGGTTTCATCAGATCAGAGAATCTTGTTTCTCATGGTCTGAGAGTCCTTTGGGTGCCTTTTGGCAAACTCCAAGCGGGCTGTCATGTGCCTTTTACGGAGGAGTTGTTTCCGTCTGGCCACTCTACCATAAAGGCCTTATTGGTGGAGTGCTGCAGAGATGGTTGTCCTTCTGGAAGGTTCTCCCATCTCCACAGAGGAACTCTAGAGCTCTGTCAGAGTGACCATCGGGTTCTTGGCCACCTCCCTGACCAAGGCCCTTCTCCCCCGATTGCTCAATTTGGCCGTGCGGCTAGCTCTAGGAAGAGTCTTGGTGGTTCCAAACTTCTTCCATTTAAGAATTATGGAGGCCACTGTTCTTGGGGACCTTCAATGCTGCAGAAATGTTTTGGTATCCTTCCCCAGATCTGTGCCTCGACACAATCCTGTCTCGGAGCTCTACGGACAATTCCTTCGACCTCATGGCTTGGTTTTTGCTCTGACATGCACTGTCAACTGTGGGACCTTATATAGACAGGTGTGTGCCTTTCCAAATCATGTCCAATCAATTGAATTTACCACAGGTGGACTCCAATCAAGTTGTAGAAACATCTCAAGGATGAGCAATGTAAAACAGGATGCACCTGAGCTCAATTTCGAGTCTCATAGCAAAGGGTCTGAATACTTATGTAAATAAGGTATCTGTTTTTTATAAATTTGCAAAAATGTCTAAAATCCTGTTTTTGCTTTGTCATTATGGGGTATGGTGTGTAGATTGCTGAGGATTATTATTTTTTAAATCCATTTTAGAGTAAGGCTGTAACGTAACAATATGTGGAAAAAGTCAAGGGGTCTGAATACTTTCCGAAGGCACTGTATATGCAAAAAATGTTGTTCAGTATTCTTGACAGCTGCCGTTTATAGCGAATGTACCTGTGATGTAGAGGTCTGCTTTCACTCCATTCAATACTGAGCCTCCGGACCCAGCACACACTGCCACAGTGCTTACAGTGGACTCTAAAAAGGAACAATTACATCAAAATTACATTAACCTCTCACTTGCTGTCAACATGTATGCTCTCACTAACTGTAAGTCGCTCTGGATAAGAGCGTCTGCTAAATGACTAAAATGTAATGTAAAATTTTAAATGTAAACATAATACACATATTGCAGCGAATATATACTGAACAAAAATATAAAAAACGCAACATGTAAAGTGTTGGTCCCATGTTTCATGAGCCGAAATAAAAGATCCCAGAAAATGTCCATACGCACAAAACGCCTATTTCTCTCAAATTTTGTGCACAATTTTGTTTACATCGCTGTTAGTGAGCATTTCTCCTTTGCCAAGATAGTCCATCCACCTGACAGGTGTGGCATATCAAGAAGCTGATTAAACAGCATGATCATTACACAGGTGCACCTTGTGCTGGGGACAATAAAAGGCCACTAAAATGTGCACTTTTGTCACACAACACAATGCCACAGATGTCTCAAGTTTTGAAGGAAAGTGCAATTGCCATGCTGACTGCAGTAATGTCCAAGAGAGCTGTTGCCAGAGAATGTAATGTTAATTTCTCTACCATAAGCCGCCTTCAACATTGTTTTAGAGAATTTGTCAGTACGTCCAACTGACCTCACAACCGCCCAACCTCTAATAAAGCCCCTTTGTGGGGGAAAAACTAATTCTGATTGGCTGGGCCTTGCTCCCCAGTGGGTGGGCCTGGCTGCCAAGTGGGTGGGCCTATGCCCTCCTAGGCCATGGTTGCACCCCTGCCCAGTCATGAAGAAATCCATAGATTAGGGACTAATTTCTTTCTTTCAGTTGGCTGATTTCCTTTTATGAACTGTAATTCACTCAAATCTTTGAAATTGTTGCAATTATAGTTTTGTTCAGTATAATTAAAAGACCAGGGGCTGCGTCCCAAATGGCACCCTATTCTCTTTATAGTAAGGCTGGGACGATACCAGTACCGCAATATATTTTCCATGGCAAAAATGAAAACACGAAGAAGAGAAAACACTTTGGTCCTTTAAAAACCTGCTGTATGTAAAATATTGTGTGCTATATCTTGAAAAATAAATAAATGTGACTTTGGATGACAACATAATGATGATGGTTTCCAACATTAGGGCTGTTTCCCTAAAGAAAAACAAGTATTGCGATACTGGTATCCTCCTGGCACTACTTTTGACCAGGGCCCATAGGGCTCTGGTCAAAGGTAATGCACTATATAGGAAAGTGTGCGCCATTTGGGACGCATCCAAGGTTAGTAATCCGGTAACAAAAAGGAAGACATAGATGTCACAGATATTTGTTTAGCCTTCTTACTCACCTAAAGTTCGCTGGGCACCGAGGGCCAATCGAAGGTGATTCAAACCCAGGTGCGATTTCATTTGCTGGACGGCCGCCGCCACTGTTACGGGCTCGTCCAAAACGCTGAGTCGCCCTTGGCCGTAGCCTGGGAGAGGAGGCTACAGGGTGAGAAACAGCCAGGATCGTATTCACTAGGCACCAAGAGGAATAAAACAGACTGAACAGGGAGGGACTGCCTGAACTTGTCCAATCAGAAACGCTTGTTTTTGTTTTGCTACAGTGTGCACTAATGAATAATATGTCTAACGTAAAAAGAGTGAAAACATTTAGTAAAATTAATTGAAGATAAGTCCAGTCCTATTCACTCTGTGGCTAGCTAAGCCTATTGATTCAAGATAGCAGGAATATGATCCCAGGGGATATGTATCAAGCAGGGATTGACATTAAGGGTTGTCCTATTGCCTGGGGCCTGCTCTTGAGGTTGCCCCATTGGGCAGGTGATTTAAAAAAAAGTTTAAACAACCAAACTGCAAAAACCTCCAGTAGCCTAAAACTGATCTTTCTGATTCCCATAGTTTAAGTAAAAGAGACAATTTATGGCGGTCGGGCAAGTTGAGCCTGCTCTGAGAAATGTTTTACTATTAACAACCAAAATACAAAAGAATTCCAGTACTGATTTCTCCCCTATGTGTAGATGAACATCTGTCAATATATGGCACCACTAATTTACATCTTCAGGCAACCAAAAAAATACTCCTGACTTGCCTGATGGGCAAGTGCCTTTCAGACTTTAATGTCAATCCCTGTCAAGCGTGCTGATGTATGGTCTGCCCTATCCATTTAATCTTATCTTGCGTTTACACAGGCAGCCCAATTCTGATATCTTTTTCCACTAATTGGTTCTTTGACCAACCACATCAGATTTTTCAGAGTTGATCTGATTGGTCAAAATACCAATTAGTGAAAAAAATATCAGAATTGGGCAGCCTGTGTAAATGCAGCTATTGTCATCTAAAAGGCAAAAATTATCTCAAAGGCAAAAATTATCTTAAATCAGCACTCCTACTCTAACAGGGAAACCAAACTGTCCACTTTGCGTGTGCGTGTTCAGGGTGTAAGACACTGGATACATACGGCCCCAGATCTGTTTGTGCTATTTTGCCAACTGCTATGGTCATATTTCCCATGACAATGACCATAGGAGATGGCTATACAGCACAAACAGATCTGGGACCAGGCTAGCAGCAGTACTACACCTTTTTTATTTGAAGGATACTGAGAGACTGGCTGGGAGCGGCGTGTCGTAACAGAGTTTGAACACTGGGGGTCAGCGCTGAGTCTGGACAGATCAGACTTATGAAGAAGCCATCAGTTTCAGAGCTAGAGCCAGATAGAGGAGACGCATACAGTAAGAGTGTAAACAATAGTGAAGAGGTGTATACAGATTTAGAGTTAAGCACGCACACACAAACACATGCAAACAGACAGATTATCCAGTACCTGACAACTGTGTGCTGTAAATTGACACCGCTATTCATCCCCTTCAGTTCTGCCATGATGGTGTTGAGCTCCTCCTGACTCCTGGCTGTAAACTCCAGTTTGTGGCTCTGGGGGCCGCTACTGAGGGCTTGACTCAACACTGAAACTTTGCCACTTCCTGAGGAAGACAACAGAAACTGAAATAGTACTTGTTACTCCGCAGTTCTTCTCAAACATCATGAATTTATTCAAGTGGGGAGAACACTCCAGAACATTCAGATAATAATTTGAGTAGAACAGTTATGACGCTCTATACATTACTATCTTCAATAAGCTGTGAAAGCGACGTCATCCTACCGGGGTCAGTCCCTAATCTTTGGATTGGGCTTGACAATTATATAATACAATTTGTGAAAACACGATTATTTAAAATTATATTTGTGGATGACTTTACATCTGCCAGATGCCTTTTATGGAGTTTTTGTGCTTTAGACCATTGCGCTACGTTTTTGCCCATTAAATACCATTCAAAAAGCATTCAACGGTTCAAAAACAAGTTATTGTAAAATTCTATCACTTTAATAGCGTATATCCTGAGCGTAAAAGGTCCCAGATATAATAAAGCACTCAATCTTATAACCTAAGCACTATTTTACAGTAAGTGAACAACAACCCAACTTTGGAGTACTATAGGCTTGTATACCACTTTTCTTTCCTACTCACCATCCCAAAACCATAATGGACCACCAAATCAGCATAACATCCAGGGCCTATAGTACTCACACCAAAGTTTACAATATTAAGCAGTTGTTGAAGCCCAATCCTTTTTGGTGGGGGGCAACAGAGCTACAGCAGCCCACCTTGCTTATTATAAAGCTAGGTGAAACACTGACAACAGTCTCTTACCAACTCCTCCAACCAGCCAGTCATTCACGCCTCCTTTAACGCTGTCCCAAGAGGTGTGAGGAGAAAACACTGCTATTCCAGCCGTAATCGCCCGGATAGCCAATCGCTGCTTCCAGTCCTTCGAAACCAAGCACTTGATTGGACGAAACAATGGGGGGTGGTAAGAGATGATGAGATCGCAGTTCATGGCCTCTGCTTCCGACATGACAGAGTCTGTCAGGTCATTGGTTAACAGGATGGTTTTGATAGGCCGACATTTAATGGGCTCAACCAATAGGCCAACGTTATCCCAGGACTCTGCCAGTGATAGAGGGGCGAGCTGCTCCAGAACCTCGAGAACCTCCTTTAAGTCCATTGGACTGGTTGGACGAGAAGAGTGGGAAAGGGAGCACGAAAAAGAGTAGCAATGACAGGGATGGAGAGGGGTAGAAAGCTGATGAGACCTAATGCTACAATGAAATGGGGCAGAAAAAAAGAAGGATGAGGGAAGGGCAGACAATTTGGAGTGAGAAGAGAAAGGGGAACAAGCAAGTGTTTGAGAGATGATTTCGTGGTAGCTCCTTCTGCAGGTCAATGACAGAATTCTCTGGAAAACAATCTTGTATCCAGTCAACATTAGTGTAGACCTGTGTGCAAAAGAGAGTTAATTTGATATGACGAAATAATATTGTTTGCATCCAAGAGCAAGGTTAATCTGCAACAAATAGGCTGCATTCTTTCAAAACATCATGACCTGTTTATCTTGACACCTATCTGTCTTGTGTCATCTATTATTAAAAAGGCCAATTGTCAATACGTGTCAAAAAACACATTCACATGCGAAGGTCCAGATTGTCCTAGCTAGCTACACTAGCTACATTTAGTAGGCTAGCTAATAGGTTTGGATTGCTTTGGCTGTTGTTGCCATTTTGTGCATGGTTGTTAATGTGCATTGTTTACTCATTCAATCAACTGCACTGGTTTAATGAACAAGGTAACGTTAGAATTGAGCTAATGTAATCACACGACCATGAGTCAGAGCAACTCTACAAACTAGCTAGGTACAGTAACTTCGACGATTTATAATAGCTAGCTAGGCTAACGTTAGACAGCTGGCTCACAAACTTCGAACAGGGCCCACAGCAATACGCTAGCTACCAACAAACAAAGGTGTTTCTGTTTGCATGTTCAGACTGGTATAAAGCATACATTACATTTTAAACGTCAGTTTACAATGAATAGGCGAAAACTATTAATTGGAAATGCAAGCATTTACTTGTGGAGAGACAGACAGCGTGTAGTCACCTTCTTCTTCGATGAGGTTTAACGGCGGTTGGCATCCAATAAATGTTGCATTACCGCCACCTGCTAGACTGGAGTATAACTCCCTTATACTTTGCTTGAAAAAAACAAAATAAAAATAATAAATAAATACAACAAATACCCTACCATCTAACACTACACTCACACATTTTTTAATAAAAACATACTGCATTATTTCAATCTATTTAGTCCTACTTCAGGCCAACAGCCTGAAAGGATGGAACACCACCACTTAACACACCCTGTAACTATTCTGATGTCAAGTCTCGCACACCCAAACTTCACTCATCTTTATCCTGACCCTCAGTGCAATCCTCAGGCTCTGAGAACACCACACCTACCACCTCCGATACTTCTCCCTCACTCACTTCCCTTTCTCCTCCTGTCTTCAACTCCCTCTGCTTACACTTTCTACCATTCTTCTTTAACAAACCATCTCCCTTTTTTCCTCAATTTTTAACCGACTCAAGCTCACCCACTTCCTCCCTCTCTCTCTTAGACCTCCTCTGCCTCTCTTTTTCCCTCCATTCCTCCTCCGTATTCCAAGTATAAGTCTCCTTATGATAATACTGCACTTCTCCTGACATACATCTTGTTCTTCCCTTGTCAAGAGACGCCATTTAACCGGCTGTCATAATCTCTGTACAAATGTCTATTCAGATCCCTACACAGGCTCAGGAACCGGGGAGGGGGGAACCTCTTCATTCAGTCAGTATTCCCTGTAACATTTGGGCTGTGAAGTCCTGGAGATCCAGAAACCTTTTTGCCGCCTTTACAATGATGTCTAGCTTCTTAGATGTTTTATTAGTTTGACTAGTGCAATGCGCTTCTTCACTGTTAGTGTGTCAGGATATTTCTCCTGAACGGCATTCACTGCAGGATGTGGGACATCCACTACCATCTCATCTCTATTCACTCCTTCAGCTATGCTACATGACCAAAAGTATGTGAACATCTCATTCCAAAATCATGGGCATTATTATGGAGTTGGTCCCCCCTTTGCTGCTATAAAAACCTCCACTCTTCTCGGAAGGCTTTCCACTAGAAGATGGAACATTGCTGCGCGGACTTGCTTCCATTCAGTCATAAGAGCATTAGTGAGGTCGGGCACTGATGTTGGGCGATTAGGCCTGGCTCTCAGTCGGCGTTCCAATTAATCCCAAAGGTGTTCAATGGGGTTGAGGTCAGGGCTCTGCGCAGGCCAGTCAAGTTCTTCCACACCGATCTCGACAAACCATTTCTGTATGGACCAGTAGTGTAAAGTAACGAAGTAGAAAAACTTTGTTACTGTACTTAAGTAGTTTTTTGGGGGTATCTGTACGTTACTTTACTATTTATATTTCTGTCGACTTTTACTTTACTACATAAAAAATTTAAATGAAGTACACTTTTACTCCTATACATTACCCCTGACACCTTCGTTACTCGCAACAAATTCAAATCAAATTGAAGCTGAAAAAAAAAAAAAAGGATAATGTTGGAAAAAATATGCAAGTAACATCGGCGAGTCGGCACACTCATGGGTGAACTTGTTTTGCAATGCAGCAGGTGACAACATGCAGAGTTGATCCAATCCTCATCAGTTTGGGCAAATCCAAGGGTCCTAAAGTGCAAACCACAACCACCGGGAGCCTGTCACTTGCAAAACAGTCATCCACTCAATAGCACCTTTGTCACGGTTTCGGCCGAGGCTGCTCCTCCTCCTTGTTCGGGCAGGCTTCGGCGGTCGTCGTCTCCGGAGTACTAGCTGCCACCGTTCTTTGTTTACGATGTTTGTTTGGTTTGGTCTGTTTGGTACACCTGTTCATGTTTAGTGTTGATTATGTGTCCTATAAGTTCTCGTTGTTTCTGTCATGTGTTGTGTGTAATTGTTTCGCCGGTCAGCAGGAGCTGTGATTTAATTCTCTCCGTTTGTTTATTGAGAGTGTCCGCACTTGTGTGCGCATTAGTTTGTACTTTGTGGTTTACGCAGTGTGTGTAATTTTCACTTGCCTCCGGCTCGTTTGTAGCCGTTAGTTTTTTCGTGTCTTTACTAAATACTTTTTTGACGAAGCCTCTGTGTCCAGCGCTTGATTCTCACACCACATCCACGCTCGAACTGACAGAATTACACACCATTGAACATGGAATCAGCAGGAGCAGCAGCAGCGGCCGAGTTATTTGAGGAGCGCGTCCGCGGACAGGAGGACTGAATAAACCGAATCGGGACCGCTCTAGAGGGAGTAATAAATACCCTGCATAGATGGGAGACCAGTGGGGTACCCACGCCTCCACCTACCTCACCACCACCATCGGTCAGTCCGCCCGTCCAAGCTCCGGAACCCAGTGGGATTCGGCTCTCGCTCCCGAGGGCGTATGATGGCACCGCTGTCGGGTGTCAGGGTTTCCTCTTACAAGTAGAACTCTACCTAGCCACCGTACACCCGGCGCCCTCGGGACACGAGAGCGTTTCCGCCCTCATCTCCTGTCTCACCGGCAAGGCGTTGGAGTGGGCCAACACCGAATGGAGGAGGATAGACGCCGCGACGATCACCTATGCGGAGTTCTCCCGCCGCTTCAGGGCTGTGTTCGACCATCCACCTGAGGGGAAAGCGGCGAGGGAGCGTCTATTCTACCTCCGGCAGGGGATGAGGAGCGCCCAGGAGTTTGCACTGGAGTTCCGGACTCTAGCGGCAGATGCAGGGTGGAATGAGCGGGCCCTCATAGACCACTTCCGATGCAGCCTACGGGAGGACGTCCGTTGTGAGTTGGCTTGCAGGGTCACCACCCTCACGTTCGACCAGTTGGTTGACATGGCCATTCGTCTCGACACCCTGCTGGCCACCCGCGGACGTCCTGAGTGGGGGTCGTCCATTCCACCCTCCAGCACCTCCGAGCCGAGTCCTATGGAGCTCGGGGGTGCTGGCGCTAGAGAACGGAGGAGAAGGAGTCCTAGGGGGGCCGTCCCCTGTACCAACTGTGGCCGTGGAGGAGGTGCTGGGGAGGGTCTCCAGGGGGACGAGACGGCAGGCCACGCACTGGGGAGTCCTTCCAGGTGAGTAGGCGCCCCACTTACCCAGAGCTCTCTGTTGTGCACCTAACCATACCTGTTTGTTTTCCACAGGTTGCACCTCGTTCCCAGCATAAGGCGCTAGTAGATTCAGGCGCAGCTGGGAATTTTGTAGATCGGAAATTTTGTGTAGTGTTAGGGATTCCTCTCCTTCCTGTGATTAATCCCTTCCCTGTACATGCTCTAGATAGCCGTCCGTTGGGATCGGGGTTGATTAGGGAGGTCACGGCGCCACTTAGGATGGGGACGCAGGGGGGTCATGAGGAGACTATTCAGCTATATCTGATAGACTCTCCTGCGTATCCGGTGGTGCTGGGGCTTCCCTGGTTGATTACCCATAATCCCTCTATTTCGTGGCAACAGAGGGCTCTTAAGGAGTGGTCTGCCCAGTGTGTGGGGCGATGTCTGGGTGTTTCCGTGGGGGCGACCTCGGTGGAGAGTCCAAACCAAGTGCCCGCAATGCACGTTCCCCCCGAGTATGAGGATTTAGCACTCGTGTTTAGCAAGGCGAGGGCGACGCGATTGCCACCGCATAGACAGGGGGATTGTGCGATAGACCTCCAGGTAGGAGCTGCGCTTCCGCGGAGCCATGTGTATCCTTTGTCTCAAGAGGAGAAGAGGGCTATGGAGACTTACATAGCCGAGTCTCTGAGACAGGGATACATACGGCCCTCCACTTCCCCTGCGTCCTCGAGCTTCTTTTTTGTGAAGAAAAAGGATGGAGGTTTGCGCCCGTGTATTGATTACCGCAATCAGATTACTGTGAAATACAGTTATCCACTCCCTCTGATTGCGACTATGACGGAGTCATTACACGGAGCGAGGTTTTTCACAAAATTGGACCTCAGGAGCGCCTACAACTTGGTGCGCATTAGGGAGGGCGATGAATGGAAGACAGCATTTAGTACCACTTCGGGTCATTACGAGTATCTCGTCATGCCATACGGGTTAATGAATGCTCCTTCAGTCTTCCAATCCTTCGTGGATGAGATCTTCCGGGATATGCAGGGGCAGCGAGTGGTCGTGTACATTGACGACATTCTGGTGTACTCTTCTACCCGAGCCGAGCATGTAGCCCTGGTGCGCCGAGTGTTGAGGAGGTTGTTGGAGCATGACCTGTATGTCAAGGCAGAGAAATGTTTGTTCTTCCAGGAGTCGGTCTCCTTTTTGGGTAATCAGTTGTCCGCGTCAGGGGTGAAGATGGAGGTTGACCGTGTGTCAGCCGTGCGTAATTGGCAAACCCCAACCACGGTTAAAGAGGTGCA